CGCCCAAATCCCAAACAGCCCCAAACCGCCAAACAAACTGTTTCCAATATCATACTTCGACATGTGCAAGGTTGAAAAAACCTACAGAGCTAGAGCAAGCTGGACTTTTGCTATTGTGGCTTGTGTTTGTCTTGCTCTGCGTGTGTGCTAATGTGGTGGCAGCTAAGGGTGGAGAAATCAAGATAAAACCAAAGGCATTGCAGCCCAAATAGTTGAAATCTGATCCTAGGTTGGCTCCCACCACTTTTATTTCACCCAAAGTGTGCGTTTGGTAGTGTGCCTTTTGTTTGTCTTGCTGGGTGTGTGTGTGTGTGCTAATGTGGTGGTAGCTAAGGGTCGATAACTCAAGATAAAATCAAAGGCATTGCAACCTAAAAAGTTTAAATCTGATTCTAGGGTTGGTTCCCATCACTTTTGCTGGGAATCTGGTAGACAGTATAACTATAGACAGTATACGCATTAGAAGCAATATAACTGGTACTTCCTTCAACGAATGATGCTTTGCTGAACTCACTTTTTCAGGTAGCAATCACTATTTCAGGTAGCCAACCTTCAGAGCATCACTATTTCAGGTAGCCAACCTTAAAGGCTCCTAGAAACCCTTCAAGGGTTTGCATTTTTTTGAGGCTGAGGTGCCAGACCTCCACCTGCACCAAGCCTACCTACCAACGCTGGCTACCCCCCCAAACAACTCTACTTGGAGGTTGGCTACCCAAAATATGTTGGTTGAAACTTTTTTGGGAGCTACAGCCGGGGATCAGAAACTGTACAGGCCCATTTACCAAAGTCATGTACAAGTCCCAGACACTCCATGTATGCCATATATGCCTACATTGTTTTTTTCTTTTTTTCGGGGTCAATGTAGGTATATATGGCATACATGGAGTGCTTGGGAGTGATAAATAGCTTCTCCCTTTAGGTCTTAAATCCTCCCTAAAGTTCCGATTGAAGTTCATGTTTGATGTGTTTCATGTTGAGAAGGGGTGAACATCTACCCCAAAGACAGTCGCCATCAGTCGCGGCCAAACCGGGAACAAATGTGGAGAAATCAGGTGTGGTCTTCCTCCCGTGCTGAGACAAGACACCAACCATGAAAATTCCAGCATCCTGGGTCGCATAGATCATTTCAATATTCCGCTGCTCACATTGAGCGTGTCGGATTCGGGGCGAGATGTGCAAATGCCAAGAAACACGACGGGTGTGGGCTGAAACACCAGCGAATCCTTGGCAAGAATGAACGAGATTATATTACAGGTTGTGGGATTGGATGTTATTGGGTATAGGCGAACGAAGCCAACAGACATATAGTTTCATTGACATGAATGGTCAATCGCCGGACGAACGAGTGTCAGATCAACGCGCAGCATACTGGCGGCAGTTGGACATCCAAAGAACTCATAACCTTTGTCGTATAAATTTACCATTTATGACCATAGTGTATATGTAGGGTTTGTCCTATTACCTGTAACAGCCAGCAAACAATAATAGATTACTATGTTTGAACAAGGCCTGCAACTGAACCATCATCATCCACTGTTAGAGGTATTAGGATAGACCCAAACCATATGTTATGATATCGCATTTTATAGCATCATGGTGGTACGTATATGACCCATACACTCCATGTCTGTCATGTTTGTCATATATGCCTACATTCACCCCGCCAAACCACCCTAATGTAGGCATATGTATGGCATACATGGAGTGTTTGGGTGATGATCAGATTGCCATTCTTTGCGATCCCTATCAGTTATGATTTACATGTGTCGCATCATTTACGTATACCATGTTGGCTTACGCATCAGTCTGGATAGCAGATGACCACAGCACAAGGTTTGGCAGTTAGCCAACATTTGCGGTACAGATCACCACCATGGCCAGTTTGGTCAGATTGTTTGGTTTGGTATGATTATGTATGATTCTATATTTTGGAGGTATTCCTGTCATATGCAGTTTTGCTTTGGTTTGGGGCAGCCCTCAGGATTTCCAACCAATCTGGCACTCCAGGGTGAGCCTCATGAGACGCGTATACTGGCAATTCGTGACATTTGACTCTTGCCCCGTTCTCAAATTCATGACCTTGCGTCACGTCCTGCGTTTTCTTGGAGTGATATGTCCCGCGGCGATGACATGGTCAGCACATCATCGGTTGCCATAAGTGCCGCCACTGTCGAACCGCACGGTGTGATTCAGAATCAGACTGAAAAAGGCGGTGTCGTTGGCGATTCGCCTTGGACAGAAGCAGGCGTGTTTTGGCACAGCTGCCATGACCCCCCCAAAGAAGCCCTTCAATCGCCAAAGCCGTGCAGCCAGGCACAACATGGACGGAGGCGGAAGTGGTGAACTGGTACCGCTCCGTTCAAGCTCAGGCACTTTTTGTTGGTTGCAGGTGCCTTCAACTTGCAGTTTTTTTTAAAGTAGGGTAGAAAACAGAATCATAGTCATTGATGTCAGAGAAAACCAGCCGAGAGTCGGGGAGTTGTGTTTGTCTTTCTTTGTGGCAGTCCGAGACTTGGGATTTCACCCGTGTTTTGACCGGCCAGCTCATCCGGCTGCGTGCTGTGCTTGTGTGGAGCCCCATTTTCAATGGGGCAGATTGGGACTGGCAGATGTGGACGTTGGTGGTACAACAACCCTGACAACAATAAGTGTTGAAATGGACGACTCCCGTGTAGATTTTCCAAAACACCTGCCCCGTTCCACTTCTTTGTGCCTCTTGGGAAGGTCTAACCAACTGCGAAAAGGTTTGCTAGAGATCCAGGGACGGCAAACTGAATCGGCCGAAATGATTCAGCAAAACCCATGGTCAATGGTCATCAACTTGTCAACCAGCTTCTTGAAAGTGACCTTATTCTGAGGCTCCTCAGATCCTTAGTGCACTTATAGCTTATATACTGAAGTCTTCCAGGCCTTGCCATGAAACGAGAACTGAAAGTTGGAAGCGAGTATTACTAACCACTTGCCTTCTCTCCGTATACTCTTTTTGGGCGGTCGGCGGTTGACCAACATGCTTTGAGAGAACCAGCACGCTTGCTTTTTGCTTTGCCGTTCGCTTACCGTCACCCAGGAGCTGAAATGGAAGCTACAGCAAGACGAACGGCATCGTGAACGAGGTGGTGGCCTGGGCTGTGAACGTTCGCCCGGGGATGCGCACCAAAAAGATAGAAAACCACCTGGTATTGAGTATGGTGATTGTTTATATATATATATATATATCCCAAACACTCCATGTATGCCATATATGCCTACATTGACCCCTCAAACCACCCCAATGTAGGCATATATGGCAGTCCCATGGAGTGTTTGGGTATGTTTAAACCGCCTTCTGGCAATATGTTTCCAGGTTCCTGGACAAATCCAAGACCAAGTGCAAGGGCCTGGCTCTTCTCGAATGCGTTCCCCAAGTCGGTCGGGCACGTACGGGGTCACCTCGACCCGGACCAGACCCCGCAGGGTCTGCGGTTGCACGGTCTGAGTCCGTTTGAACGACGCGCTCGGATTCCGAGCCATTTTGACCTTCTTCCCTTCCACCTGCTTGACTTGCTTTGCTACTCACTGGACATGAAAGACCCATGAAGACTTGATCATAGAGCAAAAAACGGGGCTTTGTAGAATATAACTTTGGGCCGTCAACGGACCTGAGGCAAAGCTTTTTCCAGCAGTTTTGATTGTTAACAGGAGTGCCTCCAAATTTAATGAGGTGGTCGTATCCCGTGTCCATGTCCTATATATTACATGGGGTGTCTTGAGTCCACGATGTTATTTGTATTTAGAGTCAACACCAACTTTGTAGCAACCATTTTTGGAGATATGGCTGTTGAGTTTCTACCATAGTCTAGAGCACTTGATTTTGATATCCGTTGGATACCTCAGGCCATAATGTAGTGCAGATAGCTGCAGCCATAAGTGCAACACCAGTACAAAATTGAAGTGCGAAGCACTGACAAATCTTAGCTAGAGAAGGTCGTGCCATTTTGTAGTACAGGCTTTGTCCAACATGAGTGTTAGGTGCTCACTACTCACCAAAACGTAGTGCTTTGCGCGTTTTGCAGCGGGCCCATGGTTGTTTCATGAAGCCATGCGAGTCTCTGCGCGATGCTTTGGGACGGTTGGTCAGTCAGGTGCTGCACCAGACGACCCCGCGCTGTCGGCCGCTGCTCCAAGACGATTTGTGCGCGTCGTACTGTGGCGGGAGTGTCGGTTGATCTGGTCGAGTCGAGGGGTCTCAGTGAGGTGTCCGTTTGTATAGATACTTTGTAGTCAGTACACGGTTTTTCTCTGATAGTGAGGTATGTCAGTGAGGTATGGCAGTGAGGTATGGTAGTCCGTTTCTCTGACAGGTCCATGAATCTGAAGATGTCTCACATACTTATTGGGCCTGTCCTGTTGTGGAGAACTTTTGCGACACTGGTTGGTCAACACGGTAGTCAAATGTCGACAAAGCATTGGACTCTGCAAGGATTCAATCTGGTTCCTGCAAGTTGGAGTTCCATTGATTGGTGGACTGTTCCGGCAGCTTGAGAATGCGGGCAGCTTGTATGTTGACGTAGAGGTTTTACCATGTTTTACCACCGAAATTGGGGGGGCAAATTATCAATTAAGATCAATTAAGATTCTACATTGAGCGGCTGTCAAGTGACGAGATTTGAAACGTGCAAATCCTCTCCATCTCTGTGCAGAGTCTGGCCGTGACTATATCATGATAGTGAGAGTGAGAAACTCTAAGACCGTAATCCATCTCTCTGGTCACGTCCATTCAATCCAGACCATTAATCCACACCTTAGGGGTCGAAGTACCTTCTCAGAAGATACGACTGGACCCTCCAAACCGACCCTCCTGGCACCTACATAACAGTGCCTCCAATCACCGTACCTGACAAGGTAGGCATTCTCTATGCCCGGGGGTTACTTGCATTCACGGCCGAACCACTGATCATCTCTAACCTCGGATCATCTCTAACCTTCAACACTGATTCTAGAGCTCCTCCCATATTAAGCCTAAGCACCTCCACTGCCGTGCAGCGTCCACTTCCGCCATGGCTGCCCCCACCCGCTACGACGTCGTGGTGGTGGGCGCCGGCTCGGGCGGCCTCACCGCCGCGAAGACGGCGGCGCGCTTCGGAGCCAAGACGATGTTGGTGGAACGCCTGCCACGCTTGGGAGGTGCTGTCCGGCACGGGTCGAAGACTTCCGCCGATCTCCCAGGGCGCATGCATCCATGCATGATGGCGCGCTTACGCCTCGGCGCGCGGTGAACTGATATATATTTGTTTTGGGCAACCCTTCTTTTTGTGATGTGAGGGAGGGAATTTCTTGGTGTATAGGTGAACCGTCCAGGAAGATGCCGAATTCGGAGGAGAGGAAACTTGACATGGGGTGACGTGGGTATGGGTGGGCTTTCCCCAGTTCACGGAAACCATTTGTGAAAGGTTCTGTCGCGTGCTGATCCCCGTACATACCAAGACCCACAAGGGGTGGTGATATATGACACCCCTTGCCTCCAAGGGGGCTCTTAGTACACACCTCTTAAGGAGGGCCTAGTACAGTTGTCCATGTTCACGCTTTCTCCAATGGAAAGGCTCCCCCAAAACGAAGGGGTTCAAGATCACTCTTGCCACGGTTTCACCCAAGAACGCGACTCCACCACGCGGCCGCGCCTCCACCAGGTGATTGCACCTGGTTTGGCTGCGTTCCATCAAAGGCCTTGATCCGATGCGCGCACGCCTTCCATGAGGCACGCTCCAAGGCGCAGCTGTTGGGAGTGGAAGGTATTGAGACCGAGAAGCTCCAGTGCAATTGGCAAAAGGTCAAGGAGCACATCAAGTCGTGTCAAGTGCCTTGGTCGGAGGTTCCAAGGCGAACCCAGAGGCGAAGCCTTGCGAAATGAGCTACTGTGAAGAGTGGAACAGGATGGAAAAGGTATATACATGAAAAGGTGCAAACAAAGGGTTAATAGTTTGCGTTGCGTTATTTTATATGCCTCAGGTTTCCCCTCAATATATATATATATTACATTTTATATATCACACTATAAAGAGCATCCCCTTTGGAGAGCACTCACTCGGTTGAAACAAACATCTTACATGTCCCTAAGAGGTGTATGTTCTCAGGAGCGTCCTTCATGAAAGAAGCTCAACAGTCTGATACGCTTGAAGAACCTGTTGTTGCCAACGACCAAGGCACATCACTGTTTGCCGTTCCATGTGTGTTCCACGCTCAGGACTTCATTTACAAAGAAGATGACAGCCCCGAAGTGCTGGAAACTGCAGGGGTCACGGTGCGCGTGGGCTGTCACGCATCCTTCCTGGATTCCAAGACGATTCAGCTCACGTCAGGCGCCTTGACGTTGCATTGACGCGGGCTTCGAGGTCGCTTGGACGTGGTTCGGACACCGATATTCGGATAGCCTCCCCTCTTGGGAGTGTTTGGCGCTCCTCAGAGGGAGAAAAACACCACTCCACTGGAGGTCCTGGTAGGAGTCGTCGGTCTAGTGATTGCATTATCAACTGTAATATATAAAAAATCAAGGAGGTGGTGCAGGAATGGGGAAAGAAAAAGTGGTTTGCCAATCCTTGGAGTACCTTGTGGGCTTAAGAAATCCCACCCCCAGTGTTTGACTCGAGAATGGTTAGCACGTACATGCCCCCCCAACAGCTGGGCCAAGCTGCAGATATGAACCGAGCCGCGACGAGTGGGGGATTGGACGACCGGTGGGATGCATGACCCTGGCTTTGGCTCGGCCGAGGGCCACCTTGGCAGGTGGCACTCCATCCACCACCCTTTGAGAGGGCTTTCTGTTCGACACGTCATAGCCTACCGAAGCCTCAAGGTGTGGTAGGACTAGATGTCTAGGGTCTGGAGATGGCTGCAGAGGGCCTTTCCGGACCAGCTGACTCAGCCGACCAGCTGCACGGCCTGGTCCGTGTTTGGCCAAGCTCGAGCTTGGGGAGATAAGACCCTTGTGTCGTGTTTCTATATACTCTCATTCACAACTCACCTGTTCCAAATAATATCAAACCCACAATTACAAGTGTTTGTTTGTTTGTTTGTTTTTTCTGGCACATCCGTTCACAGCCACTTAGCCAGACTCCAAGCCCCCTTCACATGCCACTTGACCACGCGTGCGCACGTGGCCCAGAGAGCGGTGCTGCCCAAGGCGACACTGGTGCCGAGCCGGTGGAGACGGTATTTGCGGAGCACTTCATCCTTTGCACAGGCGCAGCTTGGCGGTTGGTGCTGTGATGATTGATCATGAGTCAATGGTGGCAGGCCTTACATCAAAGACAAATACATATTATATGATAACATAGATGAACATTACATGAATTGCAGGTATCGTTCAGCTGGCAAATCAATGTTGTTCATTTCCTTTCAGCTTGGTTTACGAACGCCCCCCCTGCCAATCACATCCGCCGCATGGCAGGTGCCAGCCCTGTCTTGCCACCCGTGAAAGGCCTCGAGGATGTGCCTCAGCGGACATAAAATCATATAAAATCCGTGCAACAAAGGGTGCGAGTGTTCGACCTGATTCAGGAGGATTGACCTTGAATAGATGCCCAGGTCGGTTGGTGCAGGTTTGCGCACTATGCGGAGCCACAAGAGCTCCACTGACCCGCCTCCAAATCAAGACTTGTTAGATGTTTTGAGATTTTTTGAGTTAAGACGAGCCAGAAGCAAGAGCTTGCCCAAAGTGTCTTAGAGCACTTAGAGCACCTCTACTATTTGGCCATCATTATTCCACTGAGTCCGCTGAGTCATGCCATCGAGCTGCAGAAAATGATCCCAAAAACATTCAAAAACCAAGAGGCACCTTTCAGAATCCAAAGTCGTTTGTGGCCTCCTATTCCTCTAAGAAATCAAGGTACCTTTCCTCACCTATGAGACCATCTTTGACCTCGACGCTCTGCCATCCAGCCTTTGTATTTTGGGTGGCGGCCCGATTGGTGCTGAGGTGGCACAAGCGATGCAACGCTTCGGCGTCCAGGCCTTCGAATCGACGTGTTTTTAGCATATTTTAGCGGTCAAGGGCAGGGGACAGCGACTGGGAGGTGTTGAACATGTTTGGATGAGCTGGGCAGATGGTACATATCCAGTTCGATCAATTCACACAAAGCAAGGAATCAAACCAACCTGAAAGAGGTCAAAACAACTGTTTGAAGGGGCAGCCCTTGCTACGCTTGCGCGAGAAATCTGGAGCAAACTGTGCTCGACATCGACGCTGCGAACGATCGAGCGCCAGGTGACCCTTGTGGGCAAGCTGATGCCACGAGAAGATGAAGATGTGCGAGGAGCGGGGCAACTTGAGTGGAGAGTGAGCATAGCCAAGAAAATCAACTCCCAGTTCAATTCTTCCCATATGTCATATATGTGTCATCATGTGTCAAATGCCTATCAACAATATTAAACAATATCCAATTACAACGGATGTGATATGTGATATTGCGAGCACCCCACAGGCTCACAGGTGTTCCTTTTTTGCTGCATGGATTGTTTGGCACTTTAGGCCTGGGGCTCCAAGCTCCCAATAGAAAACAATCAGGACCATGACAGCATGACATGGATACAGCCAATATTGCCCTCCAAACTGTTTTCTTCAGATCATATTCCATCCCCTCCAACAATCATGGAAGTAGATAGCATGGCCCCGGGAAAGACCACTTTCCCTCTACAAACGAGGGGGGTAGTTTCATTCCGGGAGGTAGGCCGGTCCATAGGTGTTGTGAATTTGACGCTTGGCTGGGGCCCCTGGGCCTTGTAGCTGTACCCAGCCTCTCTAAAACAGGATGCTTGACTTTCTTTCATAGATGCCGTTATTGGTTCCCAGCCCTGAATCACAGGATGCCCAGGATGCTTGGAGCCTCATCGAACATGGACCACACATGGGGCTCTCTTCATGAATCCTGTGAAGCACTGAACGCATACGATCGAAGTCTGGTGCAGGGGGAGAGCGCCGGAGCTGAAACACCATGTTCACTGATGGAATGTTCTTCATCAGCCTGGTTTTGCTTCATAAGGCGATGTGTTATTTCCCTGTGGTTATTTCATGTGATTTCCCAACCCTGTGGCATATGCTTCATATGGTTTCCAGCTATTTGTGGGAGCAGCGCGAGCGCTTTGCTACCGTCAGATGGGATGATCTCAGTCCACAGGAGTCATGACAGAGATCTTCACTGAGGAGGGCATCACTGTGGTGGCTGCCCGCGCTGACTCGGTCGAGCGCGTCGAGGGCGGAGGCGCGGTCAAGACGACCATCCAGGGGACTGGCAGTCTGATGTGATATCTCGGGTCTGTCCGAAGTGACCTGTAACAGGACCCGTCAACAAGCAAATCATCAAGTTTTGAACAAGGCCTGCAACTGAACCATTTGGTCTTCACTGTGACAGGTAAGAACGGATAGACCCAAGTGATATCTACACACACACCTAGAACCTGAGTGTCCCCTATTTTCGAGGATCAACGATCTAAAACAACAAGATGTCAAATGGTTTGTGTATATACACCTTAACTCATTGCCCCACGGCCCCCGCTAGAGCCAGCCCAAGGTAGTCACATATGCCAGTCGCATGGAGTGTATGTGAAAGGTACATTGGCTTTGTTCAGCTCGGCTCCATCATCAATAGTTCTTCATCATAAACACGGTGCTTTGCAATGCAAGCATGCGCGACATGTTCCTTCCTTTTGTAGGATTTGTCAGGCAAAAGTTCCTCGAAGGGTGTTTGCAAAATCGAAGGCCTTGGACCAATGGACCTAGCTGTTGTGATTCGGGTGCGGAAGTGACCTGAGGGTCGGCAGGGGATATCCACATTCCCCATTCACCTGTCGAGCCGGAACTTAGAGCGCCTGACCACAGGGGAGCGAGTGGTCACAGCCATGGCTCTCTCCCACAGCCAAGCCATGGCTCTCTCTCCCTGACCCCGCAGTGACATTGGGCTACCTAGCCATGGTCTGGAGGGAGTTCCCCTTGATTTTTGGGCTACCAAGCCATGGCCCTCCCACCGCTGACCCGCTGACGCGAAGCAGGTCTCCTACTTCGCGCGGGTGATCGTGAGCTCCGCTGCGCGGCACTGCTGGTGGCGGCCGGGCGACGGCCGCAGAACCTGGAGAAGCTGAAGTTGGAACGTGCTCAAGTGCGATGGACCAAGGAGTCCCAGGGGGGGGTCATGTCAGAGTTGAAGCCCCGATGGGCCAGCAGAGGGGCTGTCCTATGTCCTGTCCTTTGTTTGGAGTGATTTTTTGCTGATCCAGAAGAGTGAATGGGGCTGAAAATTGCAGTCCTCCTGAAGTAGATCATGACCACCCGCTCAACATCCCAGTTTCCCTGGAGCGCCATTTGGCGCGTGGGTGTTGTCCAGGCTGTTGCGTGGGTGTCTAAGCATTCCGTGAACATCGATTTTTGCGCGTTCGTTCCCTTCCTATGCTGATTCAGCGCGTCCTGAAACGCAAGGACGGCATCCCTGTGGATCAGAAGCTCCGCAGCAATGTGCGCCACATCATGGCTGTGGGCGACTGCCTGGGTGGGCTTCAGTTCACCCATCTAGCGGGATACCAGGGCGCGTTGGCCGCCTTCAATTGCGTGCAAGGGATCCAAGCTGCTCGATCTTGGCGAGATGGTCCGGGACGGAGATTTGCCCCGGAATGACCTCCCTACTGGGGAATTGAGAGTTGTGGGTTTTTCGCGGGCGGAGGACGCACTTGCCCAGAAAACCAGGCCTCAGCAGTTTTGTTGTTTATTTTGTTTAATTACTGAAAAAGCCGGCCTAAGCAGGCAACATGAAGGTATAGCTGGCCACGCGGTCAGCAAAAAATGCTTGGCTGAATCCTTGTTGCGAAAACATCCACAAGCAGATGCAGCCTTTGGATCTGGCAGTGGAATAAGTGGGCACGATGGTCTCCCTGCTAACCCACGGATCACGAGATATCACGACCAATTGTTTTTAGATGTTTTTAGCCATCAGTATCCACTGAAGTCCAGTGTCACACACACAACGTGGCTGTGTCCAGATACACAATTCCAGAGCGACCAGCAACATCCACCTGCAACCTGAAACGACTGCCTTTTTATGGTTGTTTCTTGAAACGATCGTATATGTGTAGAACGATAAAACATGGTTTGTTCTTAAACGACCGTATTTTTGTCAATTACATCATGCACAACGCATATCAATCGGTTGATTTTTTTGTGATTCTTGAAATCGTATACGACCGTATACGACCGTATTTTTGGGAAACGACCATATATTTTTCGAACCATCTGGAAACGACCGTATATTTTTCGAACCACGACCGTATTTGTTTGAACCCCTATTTTTCTGTTTTTTCTTTCTTAATGTGTTTTCCGGAAATGTGTTTAGCGTGTTTTTCCCCTACTGCTTTTGCTTTTTGTTTTTGCTTCTGCTTTTGCTTTTTGCTTTTGCTTTTTGCTTTTCCTTCTGCTTTTGCTTTTTGCTTCTGCCTTTGCTTCTGCTTTTGCTTCTGCTGACTGCTGACTATCTTCTTTGCATTGACACTGCCACAAAGTTGGATGATAAGACCTTCACCTTGAGCTTTGACACCCAATTACACCAATCAAGAAACGAAGCAGCCCAGCGCTGTCTATATTTGATTTGCGTTGCGGGGGAGGCGCTGCGCCCTCCCCCGCACCCCCTCCCGCTTTTTTTTAAATAGTTGCCACTACCGTCCACCACCCCTACTATTTCCAATACCTATCACTCGGGCCACCCCGCTACTATTTTCTTTGCGTTACCACAACTACTATTTTCTTTGCGTTGACGGTGGATTTCTACTTTGCTTGGCCCAAAGAAACCCGAAACCACTGAAACCCAAAGACAACCGCAGAAAAGTCCCTATTATAGTTCCTCTCTCCTCCTACTTCTCCTTCGTTAAGTGGGATGCCTTTTCCGGAAGAACGCCCAAAGAAACCCTAAAGACAAGAAACCGAGCCCAAAGAAACCCGAAACCAGTGAAGCTAAAGACAACCCGCAAAGAAGTCCCTACTAAGTGTAATACCTTTTCTGTTCCCTCCCTTTGTCACTGTCACGCTGGCTTTGGTGCTTCGTCCCCTGCCCTTTCTGCTGCTCCTAGTGCTTGTAAAGCACTCCCAGCAGAAGCAAAAGCAAAAAACAGTAGGGGAAAAAACATGAAAAACAACACGGAAAAACTTGAAAAACATACGGAAAAAACTATCAATCCGTTTCTTTTTGAAACGACCGTATATTCTTCGAACCACGACCATATACAGGCCGTATGCAAACCGTATAAAAACGTATAAAACGACCGCATTTTTCAAACGACCCAAAAAATGGTTGTTTTCAATACGACCCCAAAAAAACAGTTGTTTCGGGTTGCAGGCAGGAACCTTGGACTTCATGTTGACCATTTTGATGGCGTAGACCATGTTCTGCTATTCTCATTTCAAACCATTCCCCATTCAACATCTCGGAGCGCTGCGAAGGAGTTCCCCCACGCCGCCATCGCTGGTCATACTACCCCCCTCCCCTCTCCAAAAAAGGATCAAGACAGAACACATTTGGGCACCCGTCCCCACCATCCGCGCCCCCCAACAATGGCCCCAGGTGAAAGGACCTTCGGGTGGACAAGTGCCGCGATGCACCTTCACACATCCAGAGGTGGCCACTGTGCCTGGTCTGTGAAGTGGGATTTGAGGATGTGGGTGGTTTTGTTGAGTGAAGAAGTGGCAGCAACACAAACGTCTTGGATTTGATATGATTTGATACAGCCCAGACACGACCTGTCAGGGTCTGCGGCAGTCCCATGGAGTCGTTTTGGCTCCCACGTCAGGTGGGGCTGACCTTCACGGAGGCCGTGACGCAACTGGGCGCCGTCCGGGTCTCCGCGCGCCTGCGGCGCTTGGACCACGTGGACCGGGCCATCTGCGAATACGAGACGCGAGGTGCGCTCTGAATGGAGGAGGTGAGGTGCATGGCCTTAAATTCTCAGAAAGAACTGAAGGCGAGCTCCTCAATTCCCATCAAGTATCACAACTTAAGAGAAACAGGCGATCCACTCACCGCTGAAAACAATTATCAAATCATATCATATATTCTGAATTTGACCGAATGGTGTTTTGGTCCGTGGCTTTTTCTTTGCGCTGGAGGCTTCATCAAGATGGTGGTCTCCTCCTCGGGGCTTCTGCTGGGCGCCACGGTGGTCGCGCCCAACGCGGGGGAGATCGCCAGCGAGCTGGGCCTGGCCGTGGCGCAGAAGTTGAAGTTGCAGGATGTGATGGACGGGATGGGGCGAATTAGGATGACAGCTGTTTGGTGGTTGGCATGAAGAAGGACGGTTGGACGGTTCTTGAGCTGTGCTTGGTCGGTGGGGGAAATTTTGGGATGAGCTTGGGGCCAGTTTGGGGGTGATAGGCTTGAAGAATTGCTGGAACGGTTCTGTGCTTGGTCATCGGGTTTCAAAGGGATTGAACAGCTCGAGGAGTTCAGCGGGGGGGTGAGGTTGCCTCCCGCTGGCAAGAAACCGAGCATCGATCACCGACCCACACTTGGTCGCAGGGCATTTCATCCTAAGACCGGAGAGCTCAAGAACAGAAGATAGATGAAGACAGACAAAAAGAGTCAAACAATAACCTTTTTCCTACTGGTGTTCTGGTGTTCTTTGATGTTTTCCAGATGAAGAAAACCTTAAGATTTATGTTATTTAATCAACATGGACTGTTTGATCACCTAATCATCAAACAAACCTAGCTTAATCAATTAAGCCAAGAAATCTTCCAAGCCTTTGCCGCACGAAGCCTGCGCAAAACGAAGCCCCTGCCCGGGTTTCCCTGCGTACCTCGCTGCAGGCCATCGCTTCGTGCATCCACGCGTATCCCACCATGAGCTTCGCGCTGCAGCAACTGGCTGCAGAGGCGCTTGGGGGCTGTTTTGGAAGGCTTCAGGGGCAGCCAGCCAGCGGTGGCCGGTAACATGTAGCCTCCCGAACTGACATCCTCCAACCATTTACGCTCCAGAACTGAGACTTCTCCGTGGTTTCCCATGACTTCCAACAAGTGGCCTTTTTTGGGCTGTGACAGCGCGGGTGAACACTAGGTGAGTCATTACCTTCACCTTTCCCGGCTGGCTTGCGTGGACTTTTGGGGAACCGTAAGCTGAAGGCATTGGAATTCCCAGGGCGAAATCCAGCAGCCCCTTTTTCCGTTTCGAAACGCAGTGTCGTTCACATGTGGGGGGGGCTTATTGGGCTGGGCTGCCAGGACTATTACGCCAGTTTGCAGAAGAGCCGCACCCTGCGCTGCCTCCGGTCGATGTGCGGTCCTCGTTTGCATGGCGCTCGCTGAAGCGTTGAAGCCCGGGAACCCGGATGAGAGGGAATGGAGACGCACTTTGCAGTGGACATGTGGTGGAGAATGGAGACGTATAGGGAAGTGTCTTTCGAAGCCCCTGAAAGTAATTACCAAGCGCTTTAGCTTGCACCCCCGGACAGGTGCAGTGTCCACATTCCGCCCTGAGTGGTGGCTCTCCATTGACCACCCTCGTGGGTGCGGTTTCTCATAGCATGACCTGTCCACACTTGTTCCTTGACATCCTAGGTCTGGCTGGATCCTGCTGGATCCTCTCCAGCACCGCGCAAAGTCGCGAGTTTGAGCCCGTCATGACCAGATGAAGCGCGTTTGGACTGCGGGCGTGTTTGAGAAAGACATTTGAACTTGCACGGTGCCCTCCACAATCTGGTTGGTCTATCTTGATCTATATAAATGCATCATCACCATTCATGGCCTATGTCGTTCCCTGATCGGATATCTCAAATTGGGAAGTGTTGCCCATATTCACAAATCGATACCTGGACCATTCCTTAAAGGACTAGAACCCCCCACCAACTTCAAGACTCGCCACTGGAAGCTTGGAGGGCCACCGCATCCACATGGGGTCAGAAGATTTACTTCAAAGATTGAAGTTGAAGTCCTTTTTTTTTGCAGTTGGCCAACTTTGCCCATCCAATTCCACTGGCTCACACCTGATAGACGATTGATCCCCAAGTGATTCTTCCCGCATCAAGTCTCGCAGTGGACTCATTGTTAGGCCAGATTGCCAACAATGTGTGCACTTGCAGTCGTCGCCAGACCTTTCACACCTCGTCATCCATGACTGAGTTGGTCACGGACCAGCCACTGCCAGCCGTGCACCTCGCCCAGGAGAAGAGGAAGCGACATCCGCAGGTGCAGGACACGTTGAGAAACTCAGGGATGGCCGGGGCACAGGGCACAGTGGGGCGGTCGGACCTATGTTGTGTGTGTCACAGGAGTTGATGGGTTCTGCCTACTCATGGAGTTGGGAGTAATTTCTGGAAGCAAAACAGAAATGGGAGATGATGCGAGAGGATGACAGGACAGCAATGCCAAAGGAAACGGCATTGCTGTACAGCGGCAAGTATAA